TTCGAGTACTCTCTTGGAGTGACAAGATTTCATACATTTTCATCTCTTCCCAGGGCACCAAACAGAAGCATTGTACTCTTCTGAATAATTCTATCCATCTTCTCTTAGTTTATCCCATCACCATGGTGATAAGGCAAAGACCTTGTTTATATGTGTCTGCACTAGACTAGCACCCTCCTCAATGACTTCAGAAATATACCTGGCAGGGTCTACAAGCTACTTCTAATGGAATTTCTTTTGTAAGACAAGAATGAATGGGATAAGCGAAGGATTAGGAAAAATAGACTCTGGATCTTATCTTTACTCTGTCATCTCAGAAAGAGGATTGAAATTCCAGTTTCTGTTGACCAAAGGGAGGCAGAGAGGCTGCTCAGTTGCTTCACAAAAATGTTCCAAGACCGAAAAACATGTGACAGCCAATCATTTTGCCACAGGCAAAGCAACTAAGGAGCTCTGGTAGAGACTGCTAATTGTTTAACACACATCTATTCACCCTTCCTTCCACAGAAGTAAAGCCAGGGTTTTACTCCAGTGGGCAATGTATTTACCAAGAGACTACACTTCCCAGTTTCCTTTGAGTGCAGATAAGGTCAGTGAGGGGTAAGTGGAGAGGCTCTGTGTCTTCTGGGAAACCTCCTTAGAGGTGAATGGCTCAACTGAGGGGTGGTACCCCACCCCCACCTTCCTTCTGGTTGGAGCATTAGTGGTCACCTTGAACAGTAAAATGAAAGAATGAAAGGCACAAGCTAAGCATGGTGGAGCAGAAAGTCAAAAGAACCCTGTTCCCTACTGAATGTGTGCTGACCCTGGATCACCACAGGTCTTTTATATTGGAGAGAGATAAACTTCCACCTTGTATAAGCCAAACAAAATTCCTAACTGACAGACCCACTGTCAACCTTCTGAGTAGTTCCCTTCTGGGCTCACCCCCAAAGCCAGCAGGGCCCAGGCCAAGATCAGAGGTGTAGACCCACCCTGTGAGGGAAAGTGAGGCTCTTGGAGGCACAGGACCTGGGGCAGTGGTTTGAGTTGCAAGGATCTAAATGCGATATCACTAGCTTCTCTTCCTCTCACTGCCTAATCCCTGTCTTAATCACTCACAGCTTGACAGTAGAGCAAAACTTGAAGTAGTCTAGTTAACTATTGGTAAAATTATCTTTTTTTTTAGAGACCACATACTCTTGTTTCTTTATTTCATAAATGAGGAAACTAAGGCACCAATAGAATTTACTTTTTCCAGCAGATTTTGGAGCAAAAACAAGCCTGAGGCTGCCTAACTTTCAAGCAAGAGCTCTTCTGCTATCCCTCTATTACTCCTTATGTCATTGCATTATAACTATTTTGCTAAGGTTTTCTATTTTTTAATTTTATTTTAATTGTTGTTGCAGTACAATTTTCTGTCTTTTACTCCCATCCCAACCCACCCACCCAGCCCTCCCCTCCTCCCTCCCATGGTAAAATTATCTTTTGGAGGAAAAGTCTGGAACTATAGCTTGAACCGTGCTGTTTTTCTTTTACCTTTAATACCAGTGTCTTTTCTCTTTATGGGACTGTATAATGAAAAGTTGATCAAGCCTGGTTCTCTGGCAAGCCTTTCTTTGGTGAGCTGTCATCAGGATGGCTAAGTACAAGTTTACCGACCAACTGCAATATTAATGCTGATGTACTGAATTAAGGAGGACTCTCTAAATCTTTGGTCTCCACCACTTACACATGTGTTTATTTGAGGAAACTATCCATGTGGCACTTAGCTGGATATGTCTGCACCAACACTGCACCTGAGAGGGCAGTGGAATCAGTTGCAAACTCTGACTGTCAACATGGGAACAGGGACTGTTGCCTTCAGACAGCCATGTGGGAGCAGTTGGGAACTTTATAAGGTGTGCCACTGGCATGACCCAGGACTGGGCCCTGAACAAGTGGGGTACCTTTCTCTGTTACTTGCAAAGGTCCCAACTCAGCCTAGGGTAGCAAAGACTGAGACCTGATGTGGCAGTGCCACTAATAATGGGACCCAACCTCCAGCTCACACCTCTAAGCACAAGGACTCATCCCTTAAGGAATCTGTCTCCTCCCCATGGCCTGATGGGCAGGACCAGTAAAGCTGGTGTCACAATGTGAAAATACCCAAGCCATCGCACTCTCTCTGTGTATCTTGGAAGCACTTTTCCTTTAGTTCAGTGATTCTCAGTCTTATTTAGATTATGGATCTCAGTGTTCTCTAGGTTGGATAATCACCAAAGGACATTAAGTGCTCACCCACACTTCAGATAACTGGCCTTTCAAACAGCCAGATATAATTAAAAAACCATTGAGCAAATAACCTTGCTACAGATGAATGTTTATGTACCCCCCAAATTTATATATTGAAACCTAATCCCCAATACAGTGGTATTAAGAGGTGGGGACATTAGGAGGTGATTAGATCATGAGGGTGGAACCATCATGGATGGGGTTAGTGCCCTTATAAATGAGACCCCAGGGGAGAAATGAGAACAAAGAGACTCCAGGGGCTCCCTTGCCTCTTCTGTCAGGTGAGGACATAATAAGAAGACGATTGCTTATGAATCAGGAAGACAGCTCTCACCAGACACCAAATCTAAAAACACCTTGATCTTGAACATCGCAGGCTCCAGATCTGTAAGAAATAAATGTTTGTTTCTAAGCCACTAGTCTATGGTATTTTTTTATACCAGCCCAAAGAAATCAGGACAGTACTTATATCTCCCAGCTTTCTAGATACAATGATATGAGTGGATGGTTTCTGATAGCTACCACCTCCTTTGGTTACTGGACTGGTGATGGAAGATATTCTCAAATAACTATTCAGGGAACATAATGTAATAGTCTTTGTTCTGTCTGAATTTAGAAATAGTCTTTGGACATATGTACCATGAGTACCCACTTAATGAATAAGATTACAGTATCACATTTTTTTCAGGGACTAGGTGAAAAAAAAACTTCCATTTTTATGGTCAGAGAAACCCAGACTAATATACTCAGCTCAGTTCTCATTAAAAAAATAGAACATCCTTTGTCTTCTCACCTGAGCTCTTCAAATTAATCTAAGGTCTGCTTGTCCCAAAGCATTACTAATTGTATAGCAACATCATTTATATCACAAAATTGGAAATGACATACATATCCAGTCACAGAGTAATGGTTAAATAAACTATGACACTCAACTGGTGAACTCATGCAGCTTATGACATTGTGCTTATAATATACTCTGAAGTTAAACGGTGAGACGTAAATTATATATGCAGTATGACTGCCATCATGTAATTATATTACAAAGAAGCATAAAATATAGAAAGATATACTTCAGAAGATTAATAATGGCTGTGTATATGTGTTAGGATTGTGGATGATTTTCTTTCCACATTTCTGAATTTTGCAGATTTTCTCATGGTGAAAAACCAAAATCAATGAATCATTTAATTGTTAATTGAAAACATCTTGTTGTTTCTGCTACAAAACTTTTGGATATTGATACTGGGTGTGTCTACTTGAAAGAGCTGGACTGAGAAACAGAGAGAAGACCCTGTGGTGCAATCAAAACGGGGAATGAAAAGGCACAGAGTCCCCTGTGTAGCTGCCTGTGTAATAATCATCACTGGTTTTAGCTCTCACTATGTGCCAAGCAGTTCCCATGCACTTTTTTAATGTCCTCATAAACACTCTAGGAGTTAGGTACTGGTGTCACTACCATTTCATAGTTGAAATGGAGCCTTAGATTGGTCAGCTCTTTTTCTAGTAGGAGGAGAAGTCACAGAGTGTGATCCTGGGCAGTCTGTCTCCATGGTCCACCATCTTCTCACTCTGCTCTACTGCCCCCTCCTATCTAGAAGCAGAGACTGAGGGGAGATCAAGCATATTTCTAAGCCACAATTCCTTTCATGCAAGGATCTCTAATATGCAAGGCTGTGGGTTCAATCTCTTGTCAAGGCACATACAAGAAGCAACCAACAAGTAAGTGGAACAGCAAAACAATGTTTCGATCTCTCTCTCTTAAGATCAATTAAAAAAAAAGAAAAAAAACGAATCTTTTGTGCCAAACAAAGGCACAGTCTCCATGTCCATTTTTAGGTGATTCTATTCAGACAAGTCCTCAAATGACTCCTGCTTGTCAGTGGACATGGTCTCTATGAGCCACTTGTTCACCAGGTTATCTCAAGGCTCTAATCAAAGGGTGATCTATAAATTGTCCCTGTTTGGGACAATATGCTCAGCTTTGAACACAAAACATAAATCCATTGCTTTGGGGCAAGAAGCCCACTTACAAATGCTCTCAAGGTGGCCAACTTTGCAGGCGCAGACCAACATGGATACAGTCCATGCCAGCATCCTAGTTAAAAGGTGAAAATGGTTGCTGTCTCTTTGCCAGCACAATTACAGGCAATCATTTTCCATGTGCTTGTTGAAAGTAGATTGGCCCAGCAAATGACTGGATATGCACCGCTGACACCATTAGTGCACATAGCACTTTGAGGCTCTCTATTACAGTCACATTCTCTCTGTACAGAAACCTACTGGTGTAACATTTCTAGAAGTGAGGGGAGGGGAGACTTCACTATGAGAGAATTCCAGAACAGAGACAATACCCAAAGACAGTCTCCTCCCATTGGAGTCAGGTGTTTCGCTAAAACATAGCATCTCCCCCACCCTCCCTGCCACCTCAGGGAAACACGAGTAGGGGAGTGGGGAGCTACAGAAACAGATTCTGTGAAATGAGCTAAGCAGATTGCTCTAAAGGAATTGACACTGGGCTTAAAGGAAATCCATTTCAAATTAAAATTAAAATTAAAAACAAATGTGTGAGCAGGGAAAACTTAATGAGCAAAAGGAAATGAATAAAGACAGAAGTCCTAACAAGAAGACTGAATCATCAGAGAAAGTGAAGTGAGGATAACTAGTTGTGGATATAATTGTGTTCCCTGTGCTCTGTGTCTTTTGGTCCTGTTCCCTGAGGGACAGCTCTGTGGTGTCTGTTCACTTACTTTCTCTGGAATCGGACCACAGGATCAGCCAGGAGGTCAGTGATGTCTAGCTTTCTCCCCTTCTCGATGACATCCTGATGCTTCCGAACAAACAGCCACCCAATGTGGGAGAAGAAGAAGCCCCGGCGGGCGTTATGGGGATCAGCATCAGTCTCTGAGTACTTGTGGTGGACTCGGTGGTCCCTGGACCACTCGAAGATGTCATTCTGCAGAGAGATTGCAGACTCTAAGTAAAGAGACAAAGCACCCTGGCACTTTCTTAACAGCATCTTAGCTTCCCCCTGCCCACCCCCCATCCTCACCACTGACTTTTACTTTACTCCCATTGTCAACCTCAAGTTCAACCCCTGGGGTTGATCTGGGGAGGTATTCATAAAAACGAGAATAAATCCTTACTTAGTAGGGATCTTAGCTTGTGTTCAGGATGTATCCACTGCACAAGGTTCAGTCTTGAGTGAACTAAGGGGAAACATAAAAGAAAAGTTCTGGTGGAGGCTATTGAAGTCTTCTGGGAGATCATTCATATCAAAAAAAGAGAGATCCAGTGTCAGGATAAAGTCTTGGTTGTCAAAGGAGAGGGCAACCTTGAGTATGACAAGGTGTTTGTTCTTGGCCTGGATTTCTCTGCCCTCGAACCCACTCTTAAATAACCTTGATGTCCAACTTAATGAAGGCCAGGAAGTCAGTAAGGAAAAACTGAAAGAGCTACTTCACTAAATCTCTGCCAAATACTGAGGCATAAATAATATTGTCTGAGGACTGCTCTAACAGTGTGCCACAGAAAGGGAGGGGAGGCAACCTTGGCTCCTTGAGGAATCTGGCGTATCTGGCCATATCCACCAAGAGAAGCAGCAGCAATGTCCAAGGGGCAGGCAACACTCACTAGATACCAAGAGAGGCTCTGCTGCTCAAGGAAGGAGACTCACCAGAGTCCAGCAGATTCTGACAAACTCACAGAAAGGGTCAGCCTCAGGCCCATGGGGGACACACCCTGTGGACCTTCTTGTGATAGGACAGGGGCGGGTGTCAGGGGGCTGAAGGTCCTGCATGAACCACCAGGGGCCAGACCAATGGCATGTAGGCTGGTATTATTAATGAAACCTTACCTATAGCCATGCGCCAGTGAAATCTAGAGACTTCCCATTTGTGTTCAGTTTTGTTTTTAAAACTTTGAGAAGGCAAATTAGGTTAGAAGTAACTGCTTTTGATAGGAAAATTAACCTGAAAATAAAAATAACTTTATATAGTATATAAGCTCCTCTTCTGAAAAAAGTTGTATAATGTTTGATACCATACTATTGAGTACTTAGTTGTGTTTTTATTAAGAATTTGCTATTTCACAGATATTGGATTCATTCTGCTGATGAAAAGAAAGGGAACTATTTTATTCTCAAAGTTCTAACAATTCTTTTCATTAAAATGGATTCATTGGGTTTTGGTTTCTCTGGCATACCCAGTGCTACCAGAAGACTACTCAACCTTGTGCATCCTATAACACTACTGAAAACTTAAAAATATTTTTAAAAGATTTTATTTATTTATAGAAACGGGGAAGGAGGGGGTAAAGAGAGGGAGAGGAACACTGATGTGTGAGACAAACCACAGATACGTTCCCTCTCCCAAGCCCCAACCCAGGACCTGGCTCGCAACCCAGGCATGTACCCTGACCAGGAATCAAACCTGTAGCTTTTTGCTTTTAGGGACAATTCCCAACCCACTGAGCCACACCAGTCAGGCTGAAAACTTTTAAATTTGCCTAATCCTTGGGTAATGGGTCAGAGAGAGAAGAAGTAGAAAGACCTTAAGAAATATATACTCAGATTAAATATAAAAGAGAAAATAGGTGTTTAGCAGTTTGTTTAAGGCAAAAATCATAGTCTGGCTTACTGAGATAGGAAAAAAAGTCTTTGGATTTTACATGTATTTAAACATAGTGGGCTGAAAAAGTGAATGCATTTATTATTTATAATCTCAAAATGTATAGTTGGAAAGGAATTTTAAAAGTCAGTCAAGATCACAGCAGCCCAGAATAATTTATTCCTTTTGCATCAGTTTAATGCTTTTGTTTCAATGTTCATCTGAACATAGGAAGAAAGGGAACACTCTTCTCAGTTCACAGATGGCAAAATTAAAGCTTATAAGACATCCACATAAGTTCATCTACTAAGTGCAAACAGTAATGGAACAAAGTGGTGTTTCTTTATTGCTTAGTCCATGCTCTTTTCAATGAGCTATTTCCCTTATTCTCCAAATTTGGTGGTCAGGAGGTGGGAGTCTTAAAAAAAAACTCTCATTTTTTTCTTGTTAAAAAGTTACGTTGATCCTTTAATTTATTGCAGTGCAATTTTATAACTCTAAATGGTGAGTCCCAGAGGGCTAGAAACATTCTCACAAAATTAAGCATAATGATGACGTTGTTAAGCATAGCAACGACAACAACAACAAAAGAATGATGATGAAGACAAGATGGAACAAAGAAATTTATTTACTTTGATTCCTCTTACCTGGGTACATTCCTGAAAGAAGCCACTTTGACTGCAACAGTGGAAAGAAGCAAGGGTTTTGGCCACATTCCAAATAACTGAGCACAGAATCAAGCCAAAAATATTCTTAAGACTTTTTTTAATCCTTTGTTGCTTTGTTTTTAACTCTAAAGCTGAGTCCAGTGAAAAATTGGTTCAAAGAACAAGATATAAGCCAACAATAGGGCAGAGAGGGGAAAAGACTCATATGTTCACCCAGGGGCCTTTTTCTTCCAACTCATCAGCATTTTGCCTCTATCCCGGAGTGACTGGAAGTGGTAGTGAACAGCATTTGAACAGCATTTGTGTCTGATGAAAAGCTGTGTGTACCTAAGTGTGTCTGGTATAGTCAATATGTGCAGAAGGGAGAGCTGAGGACTGACGAAGAGGGAGAGATGGCTAAGCAAACCTCAGCAGGTGAGGAGTGAGAGGAAACAGCCTGCCACAGCCCCAGTAATATCCTAGTAATCTCTCTTCCTTCCAGTGTTTACATTGTGCTGATTACTCTTGTCTGGAACTATGTGCACCACTCCATCATCCCCGCTTCACAGAAAAGAAAAAAAAAGTGAGGCATAAAGAGATGGTGAACTTCCATCAATGAGCTGACTCTCAAGTATGTGGATTCCGTCTGTTCATCATGCCCTGTGTGCACATCTGGATAGTGGCCATGATGCTGAACTCAGCAGCAACTCCTGAAACCTATAGACTCACATATTCTAACAAATCAATTAACAAATGATTTAATTTGCAACTTTGAGTTTATACTTATTGGTAGGTTCTGGTAGGTCACAGTCTTAATACATAATCCAATCACTTTCAAAAGTGGATATTCACCACGTTTATTGATTATTCCTGACAAAGAATTGGAGTGGTGAATGGAGCTACCTTGGTTCTGAGAGCTCTGGGCATAACTGAGGCACAGGCAAGTAGGGGAGCAGAAGAGGAAGAGAACAAGATTAGGAGTGTATAGGTGGTAGGTTTTATTATATGAGGAGCCATACCATGTTCTACTTTGTACTATCCAAGAGAAATATAAGTCACATATGTAATACAATTTTTTCTTGTAGCAATGTTTAAAAAGTGAAAAAATACAATTTTAATAATATTCTTTACTTAGCATAATATAGTCAAAATGTTATTTCAATATATGATTAACATAAATTATTAATGAGATATTTTACATTACATATTAATACCAATTCTTCGAGACTAGGTGTGTGTATTTTACAGTTCCAGCACCCCTCAATTTGGACTAGCCACATTTCAAGTGCTCAGTAGTCAGCCACATGTGGTTAGTGACTACCATAACCCATGACATATACTGTTCTTTGTGTGTTATACTTTAAAAATTTTTTTAGAAATAAAATAAAAACTTTTTAAGTTTTAAAAATTCAATGTTGCTTTTTAAAAGTTTTTAAAATTTAATGTTGTTTTACCTGTGAGTGTGAAACTGACATGAACCAGGTAAAGGGTCAATGGACTGCACATATCAAAAGTGTTAAAATTGTTCATATGTAAAACTTAACAATTCATTTTCTTGACCTTAAGGACATTTATTTTAAGATAAACTAAGATAAAAGGAATTTACCTTAAGGAAGTAATCATGGTGTGTACAAAGATTTAACCACAAGGATGTTCAATGCAGTGAAAACATGGAAAAGCCCTAGATTTCCACATAACAGGAAATGACTGAGTACTTGTGATACACTAATTAATTCAATACTATGTGTGTGTATACTTAGAAAGCTTCTGGAGAGAAATGTTAAGAAAAAAGTCTTAGGGTTATCTCATGGGAGTGAGACTGAGAGGTAGGAGCTGAGGAGAAATACTTTTATATTTTATCTTATACTCTCAAATTTTTTTACAGGAGCATCTGTTAGTTTTGCATTAAAGAACTAGTTTATAAAAAAGGATACTGTAATACTGACATGGAGAAATGACAGGGAAAATAGTTAAGTGAAAAGTAGTTTCCAAAACAGTAGATACAATATGAACCCATTTTTAATAAAAATTTGTATTTGGGCATGGGAAAAATAAAGGAAGTATGTAAGTCAACCTGCTTACAGTGATTCTTTCTAGAAAGTGGGATGGTGGGTGATTTTTAAGTTTTTCTTTTAGTTTGTACTTTTAAAATTTTTACAATAAACAAGTTTTTCTTTTGTAAGATGGGGAAACAACATTTCTTTTTAAGTTTCTATACCCCTGAATCAACACAACCCAGCTTCTGCTATCAGCCCCACATTAGGAAAAACTCTATGAAAAGTAAGATTCATTTAGTTTCAAGTTATGTATCTTTATATCACCCATTAGCACTAAGTCAACCAATCACACCTCAACCTGTGTGACAATGCCCTTGCTTAAACTCACCCTGTGTCTTGTACCTTTATTACTTCACTTGCCATCATAGAAATATTCCTAAACAGGGTCCCTTCTGAGACTGTAGTAATGGGAATGGATTGTATGGTGATTTTTCTCTATATGCCCAGTCTTTTGAGCAAAGGTAATTAATCTTATAAATTCCACTGAAGCAGATTATGAAGCCACCCTCTCCATGAGTACTTCTCCCCAACTTCCTCTTACGAGCAGAAGGAATTTGTGAGTCTAGTCCTCTAAATGGCCAGAGGGGAAACTGTCTTTTAAAGGCCACATAATTTCCTAGTTAGCAAGATGAAGGCCAAAATGTA